CACACACACACACACACACACACACACACACACACACACACACACACGCACACACACAAACTCACAAACACACACTCTCACACACACACACACACACACTTACACACACACAACAAAATACTTGCCCTCTAGTCTCGAATTTTATTTATATTTATAACTTTTTGATTTGTATAAACTACATTTTGGATTAACTTTCTCTCATAGCAATCATTCGGGACGCAGTCAATGTTTTATTGATACTTTAGCCGTAGGCGGAGGCCTGGAGACCTATAGCACAGGGTATCCTAGTTTAGGCTCCAGCCTTCACAGACAACAAATGTTTTATTACTTAAGAAAGTTTAATTATGGTTGAAATTGTGTGTGAAGGAAATAAATTTATTATTATTGTATTTATTTTAAACTCTCGGCTCTCCCAAGGCCTAAAAGATTAATTTTGAATTTTTAAATGAGAGAGGCGGTATTTCCCGGCAATGGCACAGTCGGCCGGGGTCAGGGACTCAGGTCCAAGAATCGGCGAACAATACGTGCCGTATCGAGCAGGACCGCCTTCTGCATTTGTGCTGGAAGCGACACGCCACAGAAATCCAACCGCCTCAAACTGTTAGACAGGCTGACTGGAATTAATCCATTTGCGGACAAAGCAATTGGGATTATTTCAGTAGAGGCCACATCCCACATGTCGGTGATCTCGTGCGCCATTATTATTATTATTATTATGTTCACAAAATTAACTTGTGCCATACTTGTGTAAAATACTGAAGTCTGCCTCCCGGGTCTAAAATTTCTTGTGAATCCTGCAAGGGGCATTGGTTCTCGCAGCACGCGACGATGTCATCGGAGCCTTGCGCACTGGTTCTGATGGGCGACAAGTCGATGATAGCCCCGCAGTCCTGTGAGTTGTCGCCGACGTGTTCCGACTCGTAGGCTGAGATGTTGGCTGCGGTGCTTCCAGTTTCAATTATCATTTGAATTAGGAGTAGCGTTGCTCTTCGTGACTACAGATTTAAGTTTGAAGGATTTTAAATCTTGGCTAGACCTCGTTTTAGTAACCTTCAACTGTTCGGGCAATTGCTCGGCAAATAGATATTTGTTTATCTTAGATTCCCTTAGTGTATCTTTCAACTTGTTGTTCAAGACAGAGATTAGGAAGTAATGAGAGTCACATAGGGGCCGCCGGTATTGCTAATGTGCTACATTACAGTTTCATTGGTGGCCGATGTTTCAGTAACTAAAGTGTTCATTGCACTAGTTAGGGCAGTTAATATCACAGCAATCTGACCTTGTCGAGCTGCAAGTGACAATTGCCAGGTACAGGGTACTCTTCCAACATTTTGTATTTTGACTCTTTTTTAGTCCATTTTGCAGTACATCATGTAATCGGGTAGCGATGTGGCTATGTACATTCTTTCCTACAGGAGACTCTTCCTTTGGATCATCGCTAGTAACATATCTATGTCTTGGTCTAATTGATTATTTTCTGTAGGTGAGTCTTCTTTTAATGCTGATGTAATCGTAGATGGTAGCTGTGTGGATGAAGTATGCGGGATAGGTGATTGGACTGCTGATTCAGCTTGTATGTTTTGAACGTCTTTTCCAGCTTCAGAATTGTCTGAAGGTATAATTTCATTCTCTCTCCGGAATCTTGAAAGGTGATATACCAAAATTCAGTGCAGGAAATGATCCCGAAAACCATTCGCATCACCATTGTAGGTGGATATTTGTAAGAGTAGATACTTGTTAATAAAGTAGTCTTCTTGGGAGTGACCTTAAATAGTAAATTTCAATGGTTCCCACATATATCTTTTCTGCCCAGCAGATTAAGTTCCGCTGCATACGCAGTCCACAGAATACGTGAGCTTGCCCATGTTAGTACTGCTACACTAGTTTACTTTAGTTACTTCCACGGTACAATGTCTCATGTGGTGTAAAGCGGCATATATACAAATGATATTTGTGTTGCAAAAACGAGCGACTCGTTCTGTGTATCGTTTAGATTCTTGGGTTTCTCTCAGAGACAAGTTTAAGGAGACTGGTATCATGACTGTGGCATCACAGTACGTTTACTCAAATATTTTATATGCCCGTAAAAATATACATAATTTCAATAAGAAAGAAGACGTCCATAATTATTAATCTTAGAGCTAAGGCCAAACTCATGATACCACGATTCCGTTTAACCAAGAACTTTGAAGATATAGTCATTATTATACCGACCCAGATAAACGCATAACGCATACACATACACTCGACATAGCCGACTCTGTTATGGGGAACTGTGTACGTTTTTACAATAAGTTTCCGGAGCATATAAGATTATCACTTCCTAAGTTTAAAAACTACTTTAAAAATTTGTCAATTTAAAAGTCAATTCAAAATCGTAGACTACGTGTACGAATCGTAGACTTGTTAGGCTTAGGGTTATCTAACGATAAAGATGTATGGAAAGACGACATAGCTCTAGATTCCATACAAATTTGATGCAAAGTGTATTCCATGGCATTTAAGTTTATTTGAAAAGAGCAATCTCTGGAGTTTCCTGCTCGTTCTTCTTAGGGAAGTCAGCGTAGTGAACAAGCAGTAGCTTCAATGTGACGTCTTCAAGTGGAAATTGATTTTACCATTTACCAAGTGTAAATTGATATTTTTAGTGTATTGCATGCATCACGTTTGTGGATATCTTAACCTCTGATTAGCTCCTAATAAAGAAGTGAGCTATTGTGAAGAAACAGGCCTTATGCACACTGTTCACATCACAATAATATAGTACACCTACTCGTATATCATGCACTCTCTAGCGCTCACAGGCGGGGTGTATGGGTTGATACAACAGAGGGAAATCTTCATATCATTATATTGTGAAGGTGACAATACCCGTCTACTGTACGCAATTTTAGTTGCACATAACCTAATACTCATCTATACAAACTCATGACTGCTTGCAATCGAACAAATTTTGTCAAAAATAGATGGTTTCATACGTAAACGACACAAAGAAAGAAACTTACCAGATCCTGAATCGGGGCTGGGATGTGATTTATGACGTTTACGTAATTTCTTTTCAACTTTTTTACCTTTTTAAATAAATGTTCTTCATCTTGGCTGTGTTTTCGTTTTCTTCCCATAATGTGTTTCTCAAAAACAAACAACTGTAGATTGTAGCTATCACCATATACCACTGGGAGCTGAAGTATTTCTAGAAACAGCGGATTTTTTAATGAGAATATTTTTTTTTTTTAAGTGTGGCCGGTTTCGCACGAAAACCGATAATGAAGACAAAATGGCGCGTGCGCGCGTGGCTGACAGGTGGTATATGACAGCGGAAATCAACACTAAGTTATTTAATTTTTATTTCCTACATATATATTTTTAATTTTCTTTGAACTATTCGTGATGATGGCCGTAGAATGCGAAAAAGTAGTACATGTGAATAATGATCGCGAGAATAGAGTAGCGAAGCATAATATATAATAGGAGTAGCGGAAGAAGCTACGCACTTGTACCGCTCGTAGACGCCGTGCGTGACTTGCGTCCACCTCGCATTGAGCGCCGTAAGCGCCCGGGCCACTCCGCCCGGGCCCCCCGCCTCGTCTGTCGCGCTGTCCTCTCCCGCTGCCAGCAGGATGTCGTTGCCTGTCCAACAATCACATACTTCAGCGTATTGCGTCTTTTCGGGGTGCATGGCAGTTCAACCACCAAACCGCCCGCCGCGGTAGAAGTACTGATATTGATATCGTGTCGCATACAGTCGGGGTCAGTACATACTTCTTAGTATTTTTATTTTATTGTATTTTCGATATGACGTTGGCTCGCTTCCGTTTTAGTTCGTTGTTAAATTTGTGTAGTAAATGGTATTAAAAAAGGCTTTAAAAACTAGGAATTATTCATCAATCGTATCGTTCTACTAAACAGTAGAATTGTTTAGTTTAGAGTTTAGAGAGAGTTTAGACGCTAGTCTCATGCGTGCCAAAACTGGGCCTTGTTAGGCTTGATTCATATTGCTGAGACGCGACGCGACGCGGCGCGGCGTGGTATTACATTAAAACGAGCTATACAACATAAACTTTATCCTCTGCAAAATAAGACAACATTTCATTAAACGAAAAATGAAAACGAAACTGCACCAAGAGGCGGCGAGCTGCCGACCATATTCTCTACTAAATAAAATATACATTTCTTCAAATATAAAGAAACAAAAAAGTAAAGCCGCAGTCTAGCTCCACCCACTCGTCCCGCCTCCGGCAATACAAAGAGTGTGACTTAGCTTCTCAACAATAAGGTATACTTCTTTGAAAGGCAGCTAGGAGCTGATCGACGCCGGGATTTCTGAGAACTTTGGAATTAGCAATGCAATATACAACTTCTCATCTACTAAAGAAAATGAATATTTCTTTTCACGGGAATCTGCTTTACGAATGGGTGGTCGTGTTTATGCAATTGGTAGATTTTACATGCAATTCGTATAATCCAAATAATGATCTCGGTGGCCCAACCCAACGGTTTGCACTATTGGCACTGCATGTGAAGGTTCCGGGTTCGATTTCCGATAGAACCAATAGGGAAATAAACTTTTCTAAAGTGTTTTTGGCCTAGGTGTTCCAGGTAGTGACGCGGAGCAAACTTCGTAGCGTTTGGTTCAGTTTTCGATTCCCGGTAGAACCAATTTAGAAAATGAACTTTTCTGAAGTGCTTTTGGCCTAGGTTAATAAATTAATTTATGTAAAAACTTACAAAAAGACTCCGTTTTTTTCTCATCGTTTTACAACGATGCAATTACAAGGATAAAAATTTTCGCGGCGATCATTAAAAGATAAAGATAGCTATATACGCAATTTCATAACGCTATCCTTGTTCTTCAAAATGTATAACAGTCGTTCATTATCAAATAAACAAAAGTACGAATGTTACTAGTGCGGTATCTTACAGATTCAGTACTCACAATAAAAAATAAAATTTTGATATTGGCAACATAGTTTTATCGACTGCAATAAATATGTCACGGGGAGGTTTATCATATTATATTGCATGCGATATGCTGCCGTACTACTCATGATGTTTCTTTTTATTGTTTCTGTTTATTTCGTTTGTCGCGCTCAATTTTTACGTTGATAAAATTACCGTGCAGTACTGTCAAAATGTTTTAAAATCAGCTGTGATCCTGTTTGATACTGCGATATTCTTATGCGGCCATTGATTGAGGCGCGCGGTGCGTGAAAGATGTGACGTCACGGCGCTCGCAATGTTCGCTATAGTGAAAAAAATTAAAACGGCGGTTTTATCAGTTTAATTTGTCAACTAAATGCGGCTGTAATAGGTCTGATGCGGCGTCATGCTACGAGCTCTGGTGGTTGTCTGACTGCAGAACAGATAAAAGTACATCCAGTTCTTTTTTCATTATTTAGTTCATCAAGTTTTCTCAGAACACCTAGGCCAAAACCACTTTAGAAAAGTTCATTTTCCAAATTGGTTCCACCGGGAATCGGACTCAGATCCAAGAGCTACGTAGTTCGCTCTGCATCACAACTCTGAACACGTAGGCCAAAAAACACTTTACAAAAGTATATTTCCGAAATTGGTTATACCGGTAACGAAACCCGGAACCTTCTCCCAGTGCCATATTATTTACATGAATAATCTACAAATTGCTTAAACACGACCACTCATCCATAAAGTAGATGCAGCAAGCGTCCGCGGGAGACGTCGAACTGCGCCAGGCGCACTTTATAATCTGCATTATAATATAGAACATTCTATCTACTAAATAAAGTACACATTGCTTCTATCAAAAGAAGTGCAGCGCGACGCAGCGCGGCTTTTACTTTGCATTCAAAGAAATACCGACTTCGTTTAGTATGATATTTAATATTACATTGCATCAGTACGCAATCTGCCTTTCATAGAAATGATCCTTAACTGTTGAGAAGCTAAGTTACTGCTCGTATTACCGAAGGCGCGACAAGTGGGCGGAGCCAGGCTGTGTCGCGTTGCGCGACTTTACTCTTCTGTTTTTTTTTTGTGGAAGAAATGTATACTTTATTTAACAAAGATATGTTCTATAGTATATTGTATTTTATAAAGTGCGCCCGCCTCAGCTCTCTGCAGCCCGCTGCCGCTTGGTGTAGCTTCGTTTTCATTTATTTTTTTTTATGAAATGTTACTTTATTTTGTAGACGATAAACTTTATGTTGTACTGCTCGTTTCAATGCAGCGCCACGCCGCGTTGCGTAACGTCTCCGCAATATGAATAAAGTCTTAAGGTGGTTTTCCATCGGCGAGGCGTGAAAAGACGAAGAGAGACGAGTATTGAAAAATCGTCGACCCAATTCGCCTGAAGCCGGGACAACAGCTTGGAGATGGATGTTGAAGTGTTCAGTGATGTCTTATTCCCGGAGAGATCCAGTCCTCAATGAGTACAGCCTCGGTGGCCCGACCTTGAACCGTGTGAACTGTTCGTGACTTGGGAGTTATGTAATAGTGCTTGAAAAAGTCTTGGCTTCATCAAGCGGCAATCTAAGTTTTTCGACCATCGACAGGCAATTTGTAATTTTTATAACGCCTTTGTTGTTGTTTGTTGATTTGTTGAAGTAAATTGGAAGCTACGTGCCCAGTGCGGAATCCCCACAATAAACTTTATATTGCAATGTTGGAATGAATCCAGAAATCATTTTCGAGATATTTGTATAGTAAACTTTATGGGTACTATCCTTATTTGTACCCTACACCCTTTATTTTGGGCATGTCGTAGTACAGATCGTGCCACCGAGGCTGTACTCATAGTGGACTGGATCTCTCCGGGAATAAGACATCACTGAACACTTCAACATCCATCTCCAAGCTGTTGTCCCGGCTTCAAGCGAATTGGGTCGACGATTTTTCAATTCTCGTCTGTTTAGTTTCATAGCATATTTCATGATAAATTCGCAAATTCGCAATTCAAGAAACATGTCCCGTAAATTATTATTATTATATATATAATATATAGTCTCTGAGTCGGGGTCTATGAGTGTTTAATAATAACTAGCGGTCATAATTTATTTTTCGCCATTTTTCAATATAACTGCCATACAGATTCAAATTAGAAAAAACTTTTCTTAGAAGTTTTTCTTCTAAGAAAAGTTTTTTTCTAATTTGACTGAAAATGGCATGGCTTTAATCACAATTTGGTGTAAAAATTTTGTATCCGCCGTTTTTGGTTATAGCCACCACCAAACGTTCGATTTTTTTATGTAAAGTGCTGTTGAAAAAACTTGCTTTGCTCGGACAGAAAATTGGCACGACATTATCGTCTGATAATAATTAGTGGTCAAAATATATTTTTGCAAATTTTTTAAATATGGCCGCTATTAAAGAGCTATTTTAATTGTTTAAAACCAAGTCATAAGTGCCGAGGCCGTAGGTCGAGGTCCGCGGAGGGCGAAGCCCGAAGCGTGCGCACGCCATCGTATAGAGGTAATATTCGGAGGCATAACAGATTACGAGTACAAGATCACACAACTGTAAAAATGTAAGACATACTTCCCGATTTAGTGAAAAAGAGATACTTATAATAGCGTTGTTGTATCTCGACCGTCTCTCTGTTAGATTCCTTTTTTTTTTTCAAGCAATGCCAAAGAGAAGTACTTAGGGGGAAAAAATGCTAAACTTCTGCCGAATTTCCTGTATTATGAATACCAAAATAACGATAACTCTGAGGGCAATACCCCGAAACACTCAAACTAAAACCAACTTAGAAATGTTCGTTTCTTAAATTGGCCCAAATCGGGAATCGAACTTCGAACATAGAGTATAAGCGCACCCCATAACCTGGACCGGACCACGCGCCGCAGGCCGAGTCCAACCCCACTGTGGGGTTGGGCTCAGACTGGCGCGAGACTGAGCGGGCACTCGCGAATTTGGTATTTCCGTTAAACAGTATAATGCTCTATATAGGCAGCAATACGGTTCAATATTACATCAACAAATTGTGCTCTCTTGGAGAGCGAGTTTTACTAAATCGGTTACTAGACACTGAAGTCCGGGTTTATAAATTGGAATCATCCTATAATTAGCTACCCTTAGACGTAATATTTTTGAACTAGAAAAGAATCATCGAAATCGGTACAAGGATGTCGGAACAATCGCGTAACATATACACAAAAAAATACAGCCGAATTGAGACCTTTCGCCTTATGTTTCGAGGCGGTTTAATTTTTTTCTTTTAGTATCACTCAGGGCTAATGTATTGAGGGACGTCACCGGTAACTAAAAATGTTTACCTGCGGTGAGACTGTTGCCTGACATTTATGAATAACAAACGAGTGACCGAATACCACCGGTTGCAGTGCGCATTGATTGGCGTCGGAGCGTCACGCCGCATCACACATTTTAAGATCGCGTGAACCGGTGGCGCCTGTCCCAAGCAGACTCACCGGCCTCGTTGACGGCGCGGAAGTCGGCGGTGCGCGCGTCGCAGCGCTCCTTGAGCGCCTGGAAGCGCGCCTTGACCTGGTACAGCTCGGCCGAGTCGGCGATGCGGCACTCGTGCTCGCGCGGCACCTGCGCCGCCACCTCGCCCAGCCAGCGGCCCAGCGCCGCGCAGCGCTCGCGCACCGCCTCTGCAACACGCTCGCACTGGGGGCGGCCCTTGCGCGACGCAGACGCACAGCCACTCGCTCGAGAGCCGTCGCGATTCGGAGACGCCGTCAGGTTGCGCAACGTATTCAATAACGAATCCAGTCGGCATCTCTACTGAATCTTACGCATTTCAGAGCACCCGTCTAATTGAAAGAGCTCGTCGTAGGAATACACCGTTTACTAGACGATCACGTCAGACATACAACAACGGGTTCACTCACGGATGTGAATATTACCTGTAATTCGTTCTCAAAATTTCAAAGTAAAATTGTTCCTTATTGATAATTTTGAAGATTTCAACTGCATCATAAATTAAAGAAACTTTAAGTCTACTTTTATATATCTTCGTTGATATAATAATAGTTTCATACCGACCGTTTGTTTCTTGAATAAATAAATAATAAATAAATTGTCTATAGAAGTTCCTCCGCATGCCGCTTCGCTCCGACCCACCCTGTAGTTTTGTTCGCAGGCAACCGAATAAGAATCGTATTTTTAGAGACGAACGGCGGCAGCGGCGACGCGAGGAACGCCGAAGATAAGTCGATCGACAATAAAAAATGCACACCTGGGCCGCCGCCCGACGTCAGCGCGGCGAGTGCCGGCGCGGCTTCCTCTTCCACCGAAACCTTTCGCTCCCGACCGACCCCGACGGGACGCCTCTCGACGGCGTCGGTGTCGCCGGAGGGGAGCTTTTCTGGGACGACGATCGATCGTCGTTGCGAATCTCCGTTCCCCTCGATATTCACGTCGTGCTGAAACGAATGCAAAATTCGTATTTTTTTCATAATTCGATCGTTTATACAGATACAAATCTGTAGAAACGATCGACGCAATCGTGTATAAAAGAACAAAACAAACAAATAATTACGAAACAAAAACTAAAATATGATGATAAGTATGAAGATACATCGTACAGTGCCAGCTGTGGCAACAAACGGGCCACTAACTCAATATTTGCTGGAAAACGCAAGTCGTTTTTTTAACAAATATTTCGATTTATTGTCAATTTATATGTTAACTGTACTCTTCACACTTGTTTTTTACAGCTGTTTTCAGTCAAAATGTTGTTCTGCAGAGACTTTTACCCATACAAAAAAATATATTTTATAGTTAATGAATTGACATCACAATAATGTATCTTGGCTTCGATTTATTTACAACTCAAAAAGTGCAACCACTTTCGTTCCAAGCACCAAATACATGGACTTATGATTTTACATTACATTCAAATAACCACACAGTTATTTTCATACCACGGCCCTACGCGATCAAGATGGGTATTGATCCTATTCACTGAGCCGATGGCATCAGATGGCTTACCCGTGGCTTCCTTTTAGCTACAAATCGTACACATACAAATGGTTATGGCAACTACATCGTATGTTAGTAATGATGTCTGCATTACATAAAGGCGCTCCTTCACGGCGAACATTCAAGATTTATGTAACATTATATAATATTATTCGTTGTCGAGCATTAGATTACAATACTGCCTCCTTCACCGACAAGCATTCGCCTGTAACATTCAAGACTCGATTAGGCTGCGGTTCCACCAGAACTGTGCGAGTGCCTAAGAGTGGCAGCGAGTGCTACTCGCAGGCACTCAAAGGCATTCGAAGACAATCAAAGGTACTTACAGGCGCCTAAGTTAAGACTTGAAAACATTTCCACTATATCTGGTAGATTCGCAGCCTTAGAATCTGAACAAATTGTTACATTACAGGCGATTGCTCCTTGCGTCCTTACATAAAAAGTGACGGCCCCCAAAATGGCACCTTGCGACATGCCTTTACTTACAGGGCAACGAGAGGAATATCCAATGGTAGTGGTACAGGAATATTCATACAAAATTTGATTCTTTAAGCCCGATACGAGAGGCAACTAAGGAACTATTGAATCGTTACAGTATCAAATATGTAACATCGTCGGCTAAAACCACCTAAGTGACAATCCACAAATCCACAAAAAATCTAAAAATTATGTACCTGTTGGAAGAAAAGCACCATCTTTCTACAAATAAAACCACTTATTGAGTTTATAGCGTTTTGTCATTGAGTTTCACCTGCAAAAAAAGTGATTTTCTTATCATAGCTATATAAAGACTTTTTGTAGAAAAGTCACTTGTGTGGTTTTACCTTTAAATAGACGATATGACATTTAATACGACAACTGGGACAATAAAAGTAACATGTTCAAATTATCAAAAGCTCTGGAGAAATTCAATAACACCAGTCGCGTGCTTTTCGGAACATCCTGTGCGGTTAAAATATTGTCGACCACGTGTAGCAGTGCTGTTGCTATCCCTCTGAAAAGTGAACTGTAATGCTAGTAAAATATTGATCCTCTCCAGGTATTTTGAAAACAGTTCATATACTTTGTATCGCGCGACACATAGTTATAGTGAAACATGGTTGTGGCGCGTCTTTGGTGTATGTTTATCAAAATGCTGCTCCAAATTTTTGTAGTTGTAATAAACCACAAGGGTTGAAGTTTAATCGAAGAATGAGACGTAATGAATTGCTCATTCGATATCATAAATTCGGAACGGTAACTTTATAGAGCGCAGAGGGTATCATACATTTTGATATCCTAATTGGTAATGCAGAAAGTCAGTCTAATAGGGCGATCGGTATTGTTAAAATTCGTAATGGAGTCGAGTTAGCGCTTAGTGGGTGACTACGTTCGGTAGACGGACCTCGTCGGATCCGGAGGAGAGGCGCGGTTTTTTGCGAGCGCCCTCGTCGTCGTCGTCGGCCGCGGTGTCGGCGGCGTTTGCGTCGTGGTCGTGCGGACCGAGCTCCGCGTCCGTCGGGGGCTCGGGACTCGACTCCGGCGGGGTGTCCGAGTCGAATTCGAAGCCGAGATCTCGGATCTGCAACGGGAAGGGCGTGAGCGACGGCGGCGCGGCGGGTG